AAAGAGATTCCTTTCCTGAGTGTCAGTTCTGAACGCGTATTTTGGTGAACGAGAATTGTGGGCATTATTGACAACTATTTTATATTTGTCGCGCCATACGATACGATATTGTCAGTACCAAATTGGCTGGATATTTTGTCGCTTTATTTGGGATTTGGATAATTTGGCGATAAACAATTGAAATATTGAACACAAAATTAAAAATTTGCACAAGTGGTCTCTAAAAGTTGGAATTTGGATTTCTTGGCCGGTCCCTTAAAAAGCGTAGTATAAAAGGATTCATTTGCGCCTCGGTTCGCCTAGAAGTTCAAGCTGGCAAAGTGAGTAAGCGAGACTCCCAGATCAGAATAAGTCCCTCCATTCCGGTGCCGCTGGGGGAAGGAGGGGGTTTTAAACGACTCATTTTTCAGTTTTTCGCTTTTAACTCGAAAATGGTGCGTTACAGTGAAAAAGTTCTTCAGTACAAAATGAAAGCTTATTTAATTTGCTACAAGTTTGGTTATATACATTTTTTCGAAAACCGAACCGTTTTATGGTATTAATGTCCTCGTACCCATCGAATACAACTGCACAATTGGAAGAATAGTGATTTATTATATATGAAGCATACTGCTCACAGATGAAAGCGAAAGCGGTCCCAACATTCCACTTGACTCTGTGAAGGAGAAAGCCACCGTCCACTACAGTGTAAATCGTTTTGAGGTTCACTGCATCCATGCACACAGGGAAAGCCCCATAGAGAGCAGATTTCTTCGTTTTCCTGAAGCATCCTTCGTGGAATAGAGTCATGGGGTATGGAGATAACTCGTACTTCAACAGGTTTGGATTATAGGGATGTTAATGCTGTACAGGTTTTATTGTGACGATTTTCCCCTAAAATGACCGGGGGAGGATTTAGAAGCCAAAAATATACAAAAAACGTGAGTGAAAAACAATTTTGTTTAGAAATTCCCACCTTTCCGGAGCCGGTAGCACGAAAACGTCGAAAACGGTTCAGTTTTTCGTAAAGATGTATATAACCAAACTTGTAGCAATTTTAATAAGCTTTCATTTTGTACTGAAGAACTTTTTCACTGTAACGCACCATTTTCGAGTTAAAAGCGAAAAACTGAAAAATGAGTCGTTTAAAACCCCCTCCTTCCCCCAGCGGCACCGGAATTTGGAGGGACTTTATTTTTTCTTGTTCAGGGAACCTCTCCCTACACATTTCTGAAAAAATTGGAACTAGTATTTTTAGTTCCTCTGATTTTCCTATTTTGACTGGACTATTAACGTGACGTTTTAACAAGTGACGTACCTATATCTATTTTTGACGGTGCCCGAATAAGTCTCATCTAAATTAATCAAGTTGCGCCTGTTTATGTATTTCTCACTCAACCCACTTTATTATAAAAAATTGTACCAATAGCGTCTATTAATAGGTACCTATACTGTATAAGTACAGAGACCCACTGGTCCATAATATAATAGGGGAGCCTAATAGGGGATTTTGGGATGCATACTCAAGCGTCAGATTAATATAAAGGGAGGGATACCTACCTATCACACCCTGCTGATACCTCCACTTACATGAACCCTTAATACGTAGGATCTTGAATCTAAGGCAGTTCATCAAAATAGTAAAAGAATTATCGTAAGGTGGAATGAGTACGTGTTCAAAAGTGTCCATTTCAATAATCTGACTGAGAGCGTGACCTAAAAGGAGTGGGAAAGTCACAAACTTGCAAATAAACCTTACCTTTGCATTCTCTCGAGCGCGTTAGATTTGTTTTATTTTTGAAAATAATCGTTTTTCAAGTTCAGTGCATTCAGCAGTTAAAAGAATGACAGTTGGTGGCTGAGATCGTACGGGGTCGTGTCCCGTCCCGTTTTTTACCCTTTTGTAGAGCGTCCCCCACCATACAAACCGGTAGATTAACATACCTCCAATATTAGAGACACATGTGGGGCATATACTATCAATGTATGACGCGCTCGAGTATTTTTATGTGACTATTTTTTATATACCTATTACTAAAAACCAGCAGTAGATGCCCCCCCACCGGTGGAGAGATGTACATTATATTTATATAACTGTTGTCTATTTATCTGTACCATCTAATCTACAAAGTTCGATAGGCTCCTACATCGCTCGAGCACAGACAACTATAGTTTATGTTGTCTGTGGCTCGAGTAAATCTCCACTGATTAGCAATCGTGGACTCCCCTACTATGTACTTATAAGGCTTTTATAGTCGCTTCATTTTTTGAGATTCCATGAACACCAGGAGAGGGTAAGAATTGATGGATCTAGGAAGATTTTAGATATATATGCATCAAGCATAACGAAGAATGAGAACACCCACTTTCAAGAGACTTCATGCTGTGGTATACGGATGGTTCAAAACAAAAAGACCCCAGGCCCCAACTGTCGCATATCTGTACCCCTGATGGGTAAAAGTCTCATGGACAGTCTTTCAAACTGTGATTTATGCAATTCTGCACTCTCAAAAATCTGGATACGAGGAAAAAGGGTGCAACAATTGATGTTCTCATCAATCACTTCTGAACTAGCCTGGAAGTGCATTACTGCATGGCAATTTTAACCGTGTTACCGATTTATAGTGGGTTCCAGGGCATTTTATTAGATATTGCAGGCAGACTTAGTGCCCTATTTATGTCAAAAGGTCGAGTTTTATTCTAAAACAGTGAGAAGAAGCAATTCCCCACTGGAACATACCACATGTATAGTAATTTATCCAGGATTTGCTGCAGAAAGTCAAGGACGTTACAGCCCTCAGCATCTTATAGGATGCTCAAAGTTGAAACTGAGCATGTCCTATTCTATGTGACTGTGATGCAACCACTAGGCATATATGTAATGTCTTCGGTAAGAACAAGTTCACCCCTCATAAAATAAGGGAAGATTTTATATGCTCTCAATGATCTACTCTAGTACCAAATCAGGGCAGTCATCCTGATGGGATTAGGGTATCAAGTCTGACCCGATTTAAAAATACGCATGTAAACGTTAATATCGTTATTTATTATACCATCACTAAAAAATAGTACACGATCACAAGATCGTCAATGGAAATACAGCTTATAAACAACAGTGAAAATTATCTCCTTAAAGTAACCTATAAATTTCACGTGCCCCTAATTATCGTTCAAGAATCGAAGCACAATTAAAACTGGAACTGTTACGCAGTCATTCGAAGACACTTTATACATAAGCGATGTCGAAATTTAATAACCGAAGAGAATATCCGACAATAGAAATCATGTACTCGAATGCTGACTTGGTGTTAAACCGCCGCTGTGTTCGGGACTGTGCTTTTGCTTTTTTCGTTTCTTCTCCTTTTTCCTTTTTTTCCTCTCTTTATCGTCGTCGTGCCGCTTCTGCTTTTTATGCTTCTTCTCGTGAATATCTTGTCCTAAATCTGTAATCTGCGTTTCTTGGCTCGGGGGACCTCCCTCTTTGTGTTTATGTTTCTTATGTTTATTTTTATGCTTCTTTATTGGCATTTGATTTATATACCGATATTGCTCGGGTAGCTAAAACATAATGTGATAAAATATGGTTTCGGGTAAGTGAATTGATTTGTACCGGTCCCGGATGTAAACGGAATCCATCAAGCTGTGAACTGGTCAATGGTAACAACTCTTTGCCTCCGATCGGAGGTTTTTCTATAACTGACCTAAGAGAGCTGTTGTCTTGTGCGCCTGGCGAATCGATAACACCGGGTAGTGTAGGTAAGAAAGAGGATAACGCTTCTTTTAACTTTTTGCCGCTGAACTTCGTATATGAATGTTCGAGGCCATAATAGGCCATCAAATTGGTCGCTCCAGTTAATTCGGAATCTCCTGAAAGTAACCGACAGTAAGAAGGAAGTTTAACGGTGGGTATAGGTACCTGGAGGTTCCTTCATTAAGTAGAAGGGCCCACTCGGGACAATGGAAGGGTTCTTTCCCAGCAAAATCGTCGTTTTTAATGTTCCTGAAGAATCCTGACGAGAAACAACAGGGGATCGAGCCCCCCTTGGAGATGATTTCGGTGAATATTGTTCTACTTTCCGAAACTGTTCACCCATCATCTTCTACGACCATCCTTACGCAAAACTAAATTTAGGGATCATCCTGTACAACCATCAAAACAACTACTAAACTTTCTAAAAACGTATTTTCATATTTTGTAAACACCACACGTCATAAAAAGGCAACTCTCATACGTTTTCCAAAAATGTCTACTGGCGACGTTTTCACAATTTTATATTAATTTTTATATAAGTTAAAGCAGTAACCATAATCAGCGTATTTTTGTCTGAAAATGAAACAAATCAGTGGCGTAGTACTGTAGTGGGGGCAAGGCTAACAGATACCAGTGGCGTAGATAGTACCGAAGATTTCAGAAAATTTGAAAAGTATATCGAATTTTATAACAGATTTATACTTAATAGCAATAGCTGTACAGTGACTCAATTTAGAACAGTGGTGATACCCGGGTATCTCTTTTTTGATTGGTCGTTGGTTCCGGTCGCCATATAGGGGCTAAATTGCTATACTTTTGGTATAGAAGTTTATGCGGTATTTTGTGTCTTTGAATTAAGAGAAATTACCACTGGAATACTTTAATAATTCCAGATATTCAACATAGCTAAACATTGTAGTGACACTAAACTGCGATTGTTCAGAACTTTAGCTACTATGAGGAACAAATTAAAGTGTTCACGTAAAACACTTTTTTGGCACCGTAGTTTTCAATCTTCTCTTGCAAATAAGTAAATGAAGATACCTTCGAACACGTAATCCTTTAGTTTTGGAGCAGTGGAAGACTGGGTGCACTTTTTTGAATGAGTACTTACCTTAACCATTTTGATGAGAATTAGAGTTTCGACAAGGAAAGGGTGAGTTTTGTTTACCTTTATGAAAGATTAGGAGGCACAAGAGAAGTTTTCACCTTTTTCTTGCAAATAAGTAAAGCAAGATAACCTCGTACATGCAGCAACCTAAAGGTGACCATATGAAACACTTTGTAATGTCTTACTGTTTTATTAAAAATTTAACTTCTTTTTACCTTAGAATTTGAATCTGATATAGTGTAACTTAAAGGTTCAAATTTTATTAACAGAGGTGGTATTAAAGTAGGTACGTAATATTATTTACCTACCATAGTAAACAAAGAATTCGAAAGTGTGACCCACGAAGTAGGCATTGTATAGAAGGCATTATTCATTCGCTCCGTCAGCGCGCGTATGAACTTGGTAATTTATACGCCAAAATTAGCGGTACGAATTTGTGATTTAAGAGCGGTTGGTCCTATAGTTAAGGGCTAGGTGGATTAAAAAAGAAGAGTGTACGTAAAGAAGTGTACTGGAAAAAGTTTACTTTACAAAGCATTAAAAAATTTGGGTAAGAAAACGTATTTGCTCTCCATCGACGAAAATATAAAACCTTCCATTAATGGGCGAGCGTTGTCACCAGCCCACGATTATTTTGGAATATTTACGAAGGACGCTATTAAGTGAATTTGGAGAGGTGAGAGGAGTACGCGTCGAACTTTAAGTCCCACGCCATAATTCGTAGACTGCAACTCGATCTGGAATAGCGCCAAGGAGCTCGATCATTAATTAAGGGACTCTATTATCTTTCATTATCTACGTTTTGCATAACTGCATGTGGACTAACGGTAATTAATCTAAACGCGGGTCGATCTGGGACAATTTTTTTTTCGGGCCTCAAAAAAAGACAGTTATTACCTTCCTTTTTTACCAAAAATCGACTGCACCAACATTTCTCGGGAAAACACTTCTTCTTATTAATTTTGGTGCGTAGAATCCAAAACAATCCGTACTTTTTCGATCAGACTTCTCAATCAAAAGTTATAGGCTAGAAACCAATTTCGAAAGAAAATTCAAAGGGCTGTAACTTTTGAACTATAGTAGCCCAATCTTGGAACTGTTTGAAATTATCGATTCTACCGGTCGATCTGAGACAATTTTTTTTTCGGGCCAAAAAAAGGCAGAGTGTTTAACCTTCCTTTTTTACCAAAAATCGTCTGCACCAAAATTTCTCAGGAAAACACTTTTTCTTATTAATTTTGGTGCGTAGAATTCAAAACGATTCGTACTTTTTCGATTAGACTTCTCAAAAAAAAGTTATAGACTAGAAACCTGTAACTTTTGAACTAGTAGCCCAATCTTGGAACTGTTTGAAATTATGGATTCTACAGGCCACATTCTATAAGAAAATTGTTTTTCCGGGTCGATCTAAGACAATTTTTTCTTCGGGCCTCAAAAAAAGGCAGTGTGTACAACCTTCCTTTTCTACCAAAAAACAACTGCACCAAGAATTCTCGGTAAAACACTTTTTCTTATTAATTTTGGTGCGTAGAATCCAAATCAATTCGAACTTTTTCGATCAGACTTCTCAATCAAAAGTTATAGACTAGAAACCATATTTCGAAAGAAAATTCAAAGGGCTGTAACTTTTGAACTAGTAGCCCATTATGGCGATTTAACTCGTGTATTGGGAACAGATACTTTATTAAAATCGTCAAAAATCTAGGTATAGGTATACCCTGTCCTTTGGCATTCTAAAAACGCTATGACGCAAAGGAATAGGCTATAATACAGGAACGAAATGTTTAATTTTCGAGTTTCGTGGTTTACTCCTTTGACAGCGAAAGGCACAAATCCCAAAATGTTTATAGCCTTGCCTGAGTTTTTGGAATCAAAGCAGAATACAGTGACTTTATAGAGACAGTGGCCACAATAGAGTGTCTAATTTTTGATTGGTCGTTGAGATCGGTCGCCATTTTGCGTCAAATGTCACGTGTTTCCGGTAATAGATATGTCACGCGCATTCCCGCGCTTCTATAAACGTCACTGGTTGACAAATTTGAAGTACAGGTGCCATGATATTCCTACAAGAAATAGTATCATGACAGATGACAGCCTGACATTATCGACTTCTGTAGTCAAATGGCAGCGTCTGGGGATGAAAAATGTGTGTTTCAATGGCCGTGAATTCAGTACCTAATTGTATTTCCGCGTGCAATTAGCATTGGAGGACAAAGGCATCGAAAAATAGCTGAAAACGAACCTGGCGGAACCTAATATGTGTGACAATGGGGCAGCAATTGAGGATATTGTTGTGAAACGCGATACCATATTCGACTCGCAGTGCAATAGCCCATCGAACAATTTCTATGAGTTGGATTCAGCGAAGAGATTATGTTGACGAGGCAGAGTACCCACTGATCTGTGACCTGTGGGATGATCAAAAAGTGTTTTCAATTACTTACTCAATGGTAGCGAAAATGATAATTATACGTGTTTTGCTTAGACCAATTATTTTGTAATAAATAGATTGGAGAGGAATTGTGTTTTATTTAATAAGTGTAATAATCCGTTCTTCTTGATATTACTGTCTTTCCATTTTCTTCACTTGCAAAGATATTCAAAATTTTACATTGAATAAATGTTCTTAATTCTGATATTCAGTCCAATTGTTATAAATTTTCATCTAAAAAGGAAAGATGTTCTCATAATACTTGTAGGGGTTTGTTTCTTACTAGAAACAACCAAATTCATATTCATATTTAGTTTTCATATCGCTAATTGTACTAATAAAACGTTTAGAAAATAGTCGTTCACAATATGTGTAACGCAACCACCGCTGTGTACACCACACATGCCTACGTGTATTGTGTGTTGCCAACTTTTGACGCGAAATGGCGGCCGAACTCCTATTGTCGCCACTGTCTCTATAAAGTCACTGTAAAGCAGAATACATTGTGCTGACATCTGTCTTTATTATTGGGGACTAACATTTTATCGCTAAATGCAGGACACTTAATTACCACCATTATTTTAGTTGGAACTTACACCTCAAAGATGTCGCCACACAAATTTTGTAATGTACTTTATGAAACTAACGTTAGATGTCAGAGCGCAGTTTTTAAAAACCATAGATGTATGAAGTTTTAAACTCAAATGCATAATGAATGTTTATTTACAGTAAAAAATTAAACTTTGTTATCATTCCTTTTTCGCTTACAGGTTTAAATTAGGGAACTGGCTACTGGGAGTGACAGGAAATCGTCAGACTCAACCTTTGCGGAATATGATACTGTTCGCTCTGGGTCGTGCAATCGAAGACATGTAGTTCTCGATGGATGAGAAACGTTAGCATTGAATTCAGACAACACAAATTGAAAAGGGAAATGCTTTGTAACCAAAACAGGAGGACACCGTGGAGAACTCGCAGAAAACCCATTCTAATGCAATTCAAACTTCTCAAGGTTAAAATCGGAATGATTACATGATTGCAGCAGCTGGCGATGGTGCGAAGCTATTCTTTAAAGAATTGAGCCTAGAGTTTATTTGATAGAACTATGGTTATAGAAACGGTAGGGAAATTGGCAGCGAAATAAGGCAAAAGCGTTACGCAGTTTGCAATCACGAAAAAATGTGTTGTTTGTGCGATCTTCGTGTGAAAGTTGTTGTAGAACGGTTCAGTTTAATGTACCTGTTATTGAAATTGTTCTTCCAAGGGCTTTAAATAAATTCCTATGCATAAGAAGTTACGAATTGCAAAAATAAATATTTTCTGTTCATTGAGCATGATGTGTTGCCTACAAACCAGGCTACACAAATATCGAGTGCCCATATTCAAATTAGGGATTTGCTTGAATCTCCCCAATCTGCCGTTTTTATTGAGGGTAAAGAGGGCCTCGACGAAGGAATGGCCCAGGGCCCCGAAAAACTTAAAAACGGCACTGCATTTAAGGAATAATAAGTGCAACGTTGCTATTAATCGCATAAATTCAAATAAAATTTTAAAAGAAAGTGCGTACGTGGCGACATCTCAACTAGACTTCTAAAACTATAATTGATAGGAAGTGTGTGGATTGCCATGGAGATGGCGCACTAGTACTTATTGTATTTAATCTATCTATTCAAAAACCGGGCCTTTAAACTACAATTGCGCTACAGATCTTGCAAGACTCCGTACATTTTGAACTGCCATTTATTCAGACTTCTCAATCAAAAGTTATAGACTAGAAACCAATTTCGAAAGAAAATTCAAAGGGCCGTAACTTTTGAACTAGTAGCCCAATCTTGGAACTGTTTGAAATGATGGAATCTACAGGCCAGATTCTATTAGAAAATAAATAAATAAGGCAATTCGGGTATACTTCCTAATTGTTTTGGGGGTAACCATTTTGCGTTGTGTCGATTGAGATTGTTCGGGTCGCGTTGCAACAACTACCTACCTTTTTTGCAACCGATTCTATGTGGCAAATCCACTCATCGAAGCTTTACAATACTTACCTGATAATTAGGAACATGCTCATTGTTAATTTGATACTCTAATTTTGTAATCTCATCCAACACGTCTAAAAATTTTGCCTTTGTCCTTCAGGGTTTCATATCATAATTCAAAAATGATTAACTTTTTCCGTTGTATTTAAATCGCGACTATTACTATATAATCGTTGGATACGTGCGAAATATTGCACTTTTTTGAAGTTAAAATACTTAATAATTGCTGTTTTGATACCATTCTAAATAAATAAGTATACGATTAAGTACGTTAGCTAACAATCTGCAATGTGAAAACGAGCGCGCAACAATATGATTTGTGCTATTTGTAAAATGTGATAACTAATCCGGCTCGAAGGACCAAATGTTTCTGAATAATAATGGACTGTAGTTTTGAAATTACCATCAAAGCAATAAAATAAAATTATTATCAATGCCTTGATCTCGTTCAAAGCAGGTATAGGGAAAATGAGGGACAAGTTGACAATCATACTTATGAACTATGCAGGTATAGTGACAGTTAAGGGAACAAATCACCCTGTTACGCACAGGTAATATATTTTAAAACGTCACGAAATAAAATTACTTTTAATAAGGGCAATAGCACGCACGCATTCTATATTGGCTGGGTCTTTCTCAATGGCGTGTGGTACTATTCTTTAAAATAAAACTAAAGTGTAACTGCCTACCTATACGGGTTTGTTTCTCCATTAATGATTTACATGTGATTCCGACTCTTAGAAAAGTGACAAACTGCAGTAACAAATCGAGAGATATTTATTATTAAAGATTTTACTAGTCGTACTTAAATAAAAAAAATTATACATTAGGTTTTCCTTAAGGACTAAAAATTACCAAGTAAGATATTACAAAAACTAATATGGCTGAGGACGATCCCGACCTTCACCACCATCCATTCCACCCCTGTAACAAGCAACATAAAATTAGTTATGTTTTAAAGCTATCGAAAAGTAGTGTTTCTTCAGACAGGATACACATTCAGGAAACATCCAGTGTGCGTTTTATAAAGAACTTGTTATACCCTTTTAATAAAATGATCAACAAATGCCAGAAAAATGTTCTGGTTATTGTTGAGAAAAGGGATATGATTATATGGAGTTTCGTTTTACCTGCCACCTCGACCTCCAAAACCACCTCTGCCCCTTGGTGGCCCAGAGCGTCCTCCGCCGCCACCCATGGGTCGACCACCATCTCTGTCTCCTCTAAATCCACCACCACCTCCTCTACCGCCGCCCCCACCACCTCGTCTATCGCGTCCTCCAAATGACGAACCGCCACGTCGATCGCCGCCTCCACCTCCACCGCCCGAACCTCCTTCTGGTTTAGGCGCACTGCATCGATTACATTGGTTGCGCCACGCGAAGTTAGTATTGCCGCAATCTTCACTGGGACATCGCCAGTCGCCCTCCCTACTCTCTCTGTCTCTAAATCCTCCACCGCCACCTCCATCTAGAACAGCAAACATGTAAACCAAGCATTTTAATAAAAATCACTCACCGCGATCGCCTCCACCTCCTCCGCCGCCACGTCTGGGGCCACCGCCACCGAATCCACCACCTCCGCCACGTCTTCCACCGATTCCGCCGCCGCCCCAGTTATCTCTTTTGGTGGCCAATTGCACTTTAATACTGCACCCTTTGAACTCTTTACCATCAAACCATGAAATAGCGGATTCGGCAGCCTTTGTATCATCGTATGTTACTGTCGCTTCGCCTTTTGACGCGCCTGTAGCTTTGTCTTTGTATAACCAAATCTTGGGCTTCTGCGTTCTTTTGTCCAACTGCATACAAAAAGGAAATTAGAATAGTATATTGAAAGACAAGTGTTACAATGCGACCTATTGTAATACGACTATCTTGTGGCACGAGTGGCGATGCGAAGCGTAGCCACGAGTGTCCGCAAGATAGGAGTATTACAATAAAGCATTGTAACACGCGTTTTTCATACTATTTTTTCTATTTCGGTGCTTTAATTTAATTAAAAAAATCATTATCAGAAACTATAGGGAACATTACAACTAACATGTTTTATGTTGGGAACACTTTTTATGCCGTTAAGTTTTAGGTTGGCAGCGTAGTAAGACTGACATTTTGAAGTTCAAACAAGTACCCAACGAAGTACTTACTTGTACTAACTTAACTAGTAACTGCCAACTTAAGAGATGAGTTACCAAAAAAAAACGACTATAATCACTGTCTTTGTACAACTGTTTTCAAAACAGTTGTACAAAATCATCATTGTGACACCGAAATAGAAAAAAGTTTTTGTTATTGAATTTATGAATAAACAAAACGAATTCAGTGATACTGTCGCAGATACAATAATCTAGAGCTGGCAAAAGAGACTTCTAGTAAATAGGTAAATCTGCATAATTCTATTGCGAACTTCAAAATGTTCATTAGACATTGAAGGTCTAACCACAAAGTGCGGTTCGCTTGAAGTAAGAGAAACAAACCTTAATAACTCCAATCGATCCAAAATGTTCAGCAATTTCCTCTTCAGATATATCGGTATTCATACCAGAAACAAAGATTGTATCCTGTTGCACGATCATCTCGCCCGATCCACTACTGCCGCCTCCTATAATTAATATAATGCAAATAAAAAAGTAAGGGCGAAATGTTTACTTAAGCTATAACTCTAACCCAATCAAAAATCTAATTACGTAGAGCAAATGCTCAAAACCGTACCAGATAAAGCGGGATTGCTTTGCTATTGTTTTTGTACTACTCTCCCAATTACCAAAACAAAACTTTTATCGTTAAACAAAAATGAATCACCATGTTCATTACACCCTAATTTCGGTTATATAAAGAATATGAAAGAGCTGTTACCAGGTTTAGACTTGATTCTTTAGTCCTTATTACGCGTTTCTACCCTAAATGAAAAAAAGTACCCGCAAAATGTTAAGCTTAAGATTCTAAGTTAAGGACCAAATAACCAATTCTAAATTTGTTTACGGAACCACCTAGTTCAATTGAATACAAAAAGCCATTCGGACTTCAATCAGAAGCTACCTTTATACCATCTTTGTTTTAAACAAGTGTCACCGGCTGTAGCCATTAGTTGTGTAATAAAACACACTCTCTTTGCAACTTTAACACCATAATCTGTACCTCAAAAGCCAAATTTGTGTAATAAACATGTACTCTTTTGCAGTAATAGCGTAACAGTCATTAACTAATACCTTTAGACAATATCCAGTGGGGACATAGACACGCCCACTATGACACCAATCAAAACTCTCGGATTAAAAATAATCTAGACCTTTGTAAAACTGTAGTTTGATCCCAATTTTACATATCCCAGTATGCAAAGCTTAACCCAGATTAAAAAAACCAATCCAATAAAAGTAATGTACGCTGCTGGTCACAATTTAAAAATACTGCCTGTTCGGAACTTATTAATTAATGGTTTCACCCTATGGAAATGACCGTCAGTGCAGAAGGCCATGTTACAATGACCACCAAATTAATTAAACATCGCTGATGAAATTTACATTGTATTACAAGTCAATTAGTCTGGCTTCATGTCATGTAAGTACTACGATTATCAAGATTCTATAGTCAGAAAAAATGTGGACACAAAATAAACCGAAACACCTACATAATTAGTTATTTAATTGTGAATCGTGTACCAGAAGTGGAATTTGATTTTGTTTTAACTTGAGAGCTCTAACACAAAAAATTTACTTGTACTTTCCAGTCAAATTTTAATAAACTGCCCCCCTATTTGTTTATTATCGTAAAAAATGTGTGTTACTCTTTGTTCGAAATTTGTAGAGAAAATACGCAAGTTTTTATGGAATTACCAATTGAATACGATTTTAGACATCACGCAATATGACAACATGTCCGATTAGACCATACATTTGCTTTAAAAGGTTATGTTAAGGTTAGGTAAATTTCAGACTGTTCTTCATGTACAGAGTGAGATAATTTATATCACAATCAGGAAATTGGCAGACACACTTGCATGTAACTTTTAGTAAAAACAAAAATAAAAAATACCCAAGCAGCTCTTTCATAATATAAATAAATCAACAAGAAACCATAAAATGCACCAGATGCATATCTGGCGCTTTTACCTTTATTAAAACCACCTCTGTTCCCACCGCTAAAACAGAAGGTAAACGATCAGTAGTTGCAGACACCAAGCAAGGGGGTGAAACGCATGTTGCCATTTTCATACCCAAGAGTACACATAAAAAATCTTCTTCTGAAAGAGTTTTTTGTAAACTGTTCTGTAAGCGTCAGTCAGTCTTGTTCGGTCAACCTGTATTTACAATTTACAGTTCACCCTAATTAAATACCCTTACAGATCATTGGAAAGATTGATAAAACAGAATATAAATCAAAAACGTTTAAGAAATCAATTTACAATGCAATTTAAACTTTACAAAAAAAAAATATCCCCAAAAATAGTCATGTCGAACAAAATGAACCTGCTGAGAAACCATTTAATACATATTAATGATGTATATTTAGACCATATGTTTACAAATAGAAACCATGAAAGTTATATACATATATCAATGCGGCATTGGGTACCTACTCTACGAAGCAAGCTCATTCAAAAACCCCCCAGGGGGGTTTTAAAATGATTGCCAAACATACACTGAATATATGTATATAAGTATGTAAAATGCAAACGTTGATTAACTTTGCTTGTTTGACCTGCACGGTACGCTTACCACAAACATAACCTCAAAAGTATAAAAGAAAAATAAACATATACGCAAACCCTTGTTGTTTTCAACTGCAGATGCTAATACAACCAACTGCAGTGAATGCAAAACCAATCAAGCACAGTCGACTGTAACACTTAATTTCACTTCTCGCAAAGAAGCTAACCAGAATCTTCAGAATAAACAGTATTGATAACTTACCCAAAGCCTCCTCTCATCCCTCCACTTTTGCGATCATCGCCACCGCCACGACTACTGAAGCCGCCAGATCCACGACCGCCCCCTAAATCAGGTCATTAGCAAAGAAATCGGTTACAAGATACACTGCGCTTACCTCCATACCCACCCCCTCCATAGCCTCCACCACCGCCTCCGCCGTAACTGTCATTCCCTCCATAGCCGTTTCCACCTCCGCCTCCACCGCCACTACTGTAGCCGCCGTAACCACCACCTCCGCCTCCGGAATTGTAACCGCCCGAATTTCCTCCGTAGCCACCTCCGCCTCCTGCACAAAGGAACGAAACAAGTATTAGATGACCTATTTGAACTTTGTTTCAGTGGCTGTAAAAATGGGAGACACCCTGTATAGCAAGATGGCAGGTGCATCCACAGAAAACAATTTCCCTCCAAATACCTACATGCAACAATCTTTTGTAAATGCTGCATGCAAATTTGAATTTGGCGCCAATTTTATACCAGGGAAAAAGGATTGCATCTTTCTGCAATTGTTACTAGAGATAGAATTCCTAACCTTTAAACATTGCGACAAAAGATCTACGAAGACAAGCCGCAGCATTGTCTATGTCATTTCGTGCGAAAATAAAGAAACTACGCACCTTGCGAAGAGCCGTAGCCGCCACCACCGCCGCCGCTATCGCGGTTTTGAGTCCACGATCCCCCTTGATTTCCGTAATTGCCGGATGACGCCTGTCCGCCATAACCTCCTCCGCCCTGATTGCCACCAAGCGAGGGTGGTGGTTGTGAATAATTGCCGTAACCGCCACCGCCACCTCCTCCGCTAGACTCGTACGAGTTGTAATCTGCCATTATAGTAAACCAAGCGGTTTCTCACTGAAAAAACAGTCCACCATGTTGTAAGGGGTTTATCATGACGAAGTAAATACACGTATAATTACAAAACGTGGGACGATTATTAAATTAAAAAATAAAGTTAACCAGCTCCAAAACGAGCAAAATATAAGAAAAACGTGTACTCACCAATTTATTGATAATAAAGTTCGAGTAACACCGGTCTTACTTGCCCAAGTACGCGGTCAATAATGGCGTGTCCGTGTAATAAAGCAAGCCGGATATGATGTCGCGCTTGAACTACGAACAAACAAATCAAGCGGCTATGTGATTGGCCGTAGCACTTTCGCCGGAAATACGTCGGCGCGTCTCTCTGTGACGTATTTCAAATCTCAACCGTTTCGAAACCGGAAAAACAACTTAAGGAGCAAAGTGTATCGCACTTAATGTGATATTAATTTATATAAATAACAACAAATTGTAGAATAACTTAAAGCGTAATTAATAGGGTCATTATCTAGTAGATATTTTTGACTACGCAGTACGTACATTCATTGTCCTTGGAATACCGCATACCTGTCGCTTAGGCAACCAACATATCATTTACGTATTTCGTTTTACCTTTGAATTTAAAATTATTATATTCAAAGGTTTTACCAATGGTTTTACTTTGCTTTTTAAGTGGTAAAGAAGTTGTAACACAGATTAAAAGTGGTTGCACAGCGAGTTCATGCTTTTGGATGTTCTATCCGTTCATCCGTCCATCTGTATACGCGATACCTCGGGAACGATTTCGAATTATTCAGTTTTAAGTCATAGGTAGACAGTCTACCTGATTAAATTTTGGTCATTTGGACTTTCTATCGGTCCGTCTGTGTACATGATACCTCCGTCTGCTTATGTAGATACTGACGAACGGTTTCGAATTTTCAATTCTGTTTTCAGTATTCTGCTATAAGAAAGACTGATTACAATTTCAATCACCAAGGAGCTCGTTAGCTATATTTGTTAGCGCATTTTTGCAAAAATTTTTTTTGTAAAAAGTACCTAGCTTTTAATCTCACTTTGGCTGGCTGGCTGGCCGGCTGGCTGGCTGGCTGGCAGTAAATGCGCGCCCGTAGAAAAACGCTTGTAAAAAGACAAGGAGTGTACATGTAACTATCGGGGCCGTGTAATTAAGAACGTTAGGGATGGGGCTACAAGATTTGGAGTCGACGACATCTGGACGCCATCCCCGAGCGTATTATACTAACCTGGAGATTTTTCAGTTTTTATCTATCTTCTTCTACAGTTTTTCTCCGATTGTTTCAAATTGGTGTCTTCGGGAAGATCTTGTCAACGCGCACAACTCCTGCGTGGCGGAATTTTGTTTTTTTTCCTAGGGGCGAAATAAACCACCTTTTGCGCGGCGCGCTTCGTGGGGTAGTCGACTTTGGGCGCCCAAAAGTTTCTTACAGCGCGAATCGCGGTCTCTCTTTCTCGTGTCACTAATAGAAGGTCGAGCTATGTGAAGTACCCAAAAGTTGAATACGATTTTATGCCGGGATTTTAGCGAAATCTACCAAAATGTGAATTACGAATGAACGGGACGTCGGAACTGTGTATCGACAAAGGGAATGTGGTAACCCCCGACGAGATCTTACTGATGGTGGAGTCGAAACTTCAAATCCGAATTGTTGCGGGTGATCAGAAGTGGGTGTCGACAAAGGGAATATGGTAACCCCCAAAGGATTTTACTGATGGTGGAGTCAAAACTTCAAACGCGAATTGCGAGTGCACGGTAGGTGAGAAAATGGTACCGACAAAGTGAACGTGGTAGCTTTCGGCAAGATCTTATTGATGGTGGAGTCAATATTGGCACAGATCTACATCAATACACAGATTGCTAACCTTATGCATACACAGATTGCTAACCTTATGCATTTTTTGGGAAACAAATTTAGGTATACTTAAAAGCGCCCTCTATTGCGGAGCAGTATATACATGTGTCGTTTAAAACTGTAATATGACGCTTATGGATTTATGTGTTAGATGTCGCTGAAACAAAATTAAAGCGCTAGTTTGCACAATTCGAATTCCTTAATATACGTATTATTACCTTCGATCATACTGTATGATCGAAGATTATTACAGTGGTATGATATGATAGGAGTGTACGTTGAGCCATAATTGTTTAATTTAACACTGGAGCTACTCATTCGTCATAAGCGAGTTATTAAAAGCGGGTCCCTGTGGTCACAGATGCACACGAACATAGGGCAGGTTCTTAAAGAATCGTGAAGGTTTTTTGAAGTTGGCGGAAACTATTTGCGGCTTTAAAGGTCTTGACAGATTGCTAACCACAAAGGCATACTTAAAAACTATGTATATCTCTGCCATCATTAACGTTACACTCTTTACCACGCCGATAAGATATAAGATAGGGAGGTTATTTTCGAAAAGTTGATAGTTTTCGAGTTGTAAGCACAAAACTGCTAAAAAAATATCTTTTTCAACTTTTTTTGTATTTTTTTCAATGTTGCGTCATGAAATTTTGTTAGCAAACCTCAGATTCGGATTCAGCACCCCAAAATACATATAGAATCAAAGAAATCAAAACTACCCCACAACTTTCCTGGTATAAATACAATTAAACTGGATTATATGCACACTTTACCGCTTTAAATAAAGTCCCTAGATTGGTAGCTTTAAATAAAGTCACTAAATATAGAAAGTACCGCAATCCATTGGGCTCGTGTGTTAGAGAGAGAACGCATGATTTTTGCCCAAAAATGGCGGAAGTTACCAGATTCTAGTAACTTTAATGTTAGGGATTGTTCCACCTGTTTGGAGATATCTGTATATATTTTTATAAAACATGACAGTACTATGAAGTTAGGTTATAAAAAATGACAGCTATTCAGATTTTATTTGTCAATTTTTTTAAGTTGCCAGCAAATTTGCCCAAAAATGGCGGATGATTGCGGTACTTTTTATATCTAGTGACTTTAGCTTTAAATTTTTTGCAGCGACATCTAATGCATAAATCCATAAGCGTCATATTACAGTTTTAAACGATACATGTTTATACTGCTCCGCAATAGAGGGCGCTTTTAAGTATACCTAAATTTGTTTCACAAAAAATGCATAAGGTTAGCAATCTGTGTATGTGTAGATCTGTGCTATTGGCTAATAAAACACTGATCTGCCACACAAAAATGCGCTGAAGTCCCTTCGATCTCACACGAGGACTTTGATCATTTTTAAAGGTTTATTCGCAAGAGAACTTACGCACTTGGTAACTTCTTCATGGGATTTATATTCAAAGGGACAATTTTTTCATGTCTCATAATTTTTACAATAAAACCATTTTATAGCGTCAGTGTTCTTATTTCATCCCCCAATAGCCAAACCTCGTAAGATTCTTTTTGGTATCAAAATCCACCAATATCCTTTCTTTACCTTGATTGGAACAGCCCTACCCTTATCATCAGTGTCAATTGGAACAGTATGGTTTCAAATGACAAAAAACATCCAAGAACAACCAACAATGGAAATTATCTAGAATAGAGAAAATGTGGAATAGATTTACAGCTGAAAAGTGTTGGCCTTTATAGTTAAACATTCCCCCAATCATAAGATCCAGAGGCTCCATTTTAAGCACATGTTAAGTTACCCCTCATTAATACATTTTTTTTTGTAATTGTACCTTCTGGAGTCCCCCAATAAAGTTCTAGAGTTCTTGATACATTTTGGAAAGAGTTCTGACAATGAAGTTAATAGTCCAGTCAGTAGGGATTGTTGCCTTACAAAAGGTGTTGTAGAAGTAATGTTTTAGTATGTTGTCGAGGTCAGGATCTTGAAATAAAAAGCATGTTTTCGACCTTGGGGTAGGACTGCTCGCAATCAGATTTTAGTGCATTTTTGCAAAGTTACTTGTAAAAAGGTAGCTTTTAATCTCACTTTGGTCGGCTGGCTGGCTGCTGGATGGGTAGCTGGCTGGCAGTAAATGCGGGCCCGTAGAAAAACGTTTGTAGAAAGACGAGGAGTGTACATGTACACCACCTGGGCCGTGTAATTAACAGATTTCGGGACGGGGTTACATGATGCGTCTTCTACATTTTTGGTTCGATTGTTTTTAAATTGGTGTCGTCAGAAAGATCTTGTAAACGCCTTGCGTAACGAAATTTTGTGTTCTTCATAGGGGCGCGTCTACGAGGGGTAGTAGACTTCGGGCGCCCAAAAGGTGTCTTCCGCTGCGAATTTTGTCACGCGGATTAAAGTTTCTTAAAGCTCGAACCGCGGTTTCTCTTCTTCGCGTCGCCAATAGAAGTCCGAGCTATGAGAAGTGCCCCAAAAATTGAGTGTTATTTTGTGGAAGGGATGTCGGAGTAGGTACCGACAAAGAGAAAATTGAAAGTGAGCCAAGTCCCACCAGGGTTGCGGATCTCCGCTAAAAACTCGACGCGAACCAAGATGTCGCGGGCGGCATCCATTGAAGATGTCTGCAATAAAAGAGGTTTGTATTGAGAGAGGTTGGCTTTTATACAAGCATATTTAAAATATGCTTAGGTCGAGGCGGGTTATGTCCTATGTTATACCTTTGAATATATTTATAATCAAAGGTTATACTCAGACCTGGTAATTTAATAACTTGGTAATTTTGTAGATAAATTTGATTATATCGGAAAACCTTAAAGCGGAAGTTGAAGTAGAATTGAATATAAAGGGGATACAGTGGAATTTTATTGCCTCTGGAGCTCTGATGGTATGTGTGGAATCGAATATAAATGGTGTCAAGTGGCATTTACTTAAAATTGTCATACGAAGAATTGAATACCCTCTTAATGCAAATTGAACCTTGTGCGTTTTCTGTTCATTCTCCTGAACCAGTGTATCTATTCTGCCTGAACCCAGTGCATTCACTATTCGCACAGATTACCCGACACTTATTTCTGTGCTATTGGTTTCAAAATTATTTGAGCAGTAGATACCAAGTGGTCAAGTATAATAACACTTTTTTGAGCAAAAAATGGTGCCCCACAAGGAAAGTATTCTTGGACCCATACTGATATCAATGTTATCCTATGCTTTTGACTTGCCGCAGACCATTAAACATTGAAATTTGCGCTTACATGCAAATAATCTCCAATTGACCATGTTATCTAGTCATGGCAACAGAATTAAACAGAAACAATAGTATAAGACAGAAGATTCCTATTTTTTTTGTACCAGATTATAAAATTAAAATGCATATCTGTACAGTTAACCAATCAAGATTCATCCTCCAAATTCGTAAGTTGCTTTCCTTATAAAGCACCGGAATTAATAAACAGTATATATAGTTTTTTTGTTGGATGAATATGCATTAAAAAGATCAGCTAAATTTTAATTACTTTGCCCTATACGAGTAGTGCGAGTGATACTTAAAGTTCAGCATGTAAATCATAGGGCAATTGGACGTAAATTACACAGGGTTGTCACAATCCTGCTTCTATAGCAGTTGTTTCCATGTACCTACTTACATGTACTTAATTAGTAGTTTTTTGAATCGATAATGCACTTTTACAATTCTTAGTTGAGCTATCCAGTTTTATGCATTCTGCCACTATGATAATTTTCTTCATTTCAATTAGTACATATAGCAGTTAAATTCTACAATATTTACTTACAAAAAAACTAGCATCTTTTAAAAACAAGATACGAAGAATCGTATCCGATTTTTAGTAGGTGAATTTGTTGCCACTCAGCTCGTATTCGGAAAGCAGACTTTTAATCTGACACCTACATAATAGCACTCACCTTTGAACTCGTAGAAATCGATTGGCGAAGGTTTGCCCTTTCTGCCTCTTTTCGTTTTCGAGTTAGACGAGGAACTGGCGGACAAAACCATAAAATAAAAAAATTCAAACATAATTCTCTTCCAAATGTTCGTCCGTATCAAATACTCCCAAGACAAAAAATGTTTATGCTTAATATTCCTAAAAATTCACTCACTCAACCAACCATTTTAACAATTTGAAAATGGTCACTGTGGCGACGCGCCGCTTGCACATCAGGCAGCAAAAAATAACGTGCTGCACCCTCATTGGTCAAAACGGCCATCGTAACGTTCCTGGCCGCAAACGTATAAAAGCAAAACTCCAAATTCTCTAAAGAAAATTCCTGCTTCGACGGCGCTACAAGAAACAACCAGGTCTCCGCCTGCAGAACCAGTTCACTTTGCTTCCTCAACCTACGCTCCACCAGCTCGAAAACCTGCATCCGCGCTCACCCTTCATTGACTCATAAGCGTTGCGCACACGAGTCAACATCATCATACGATGACACCACGATGGAAAGTATGATACACCTCAATATTTTAAGTACACTAACTAAATATCTAATATTCATCTTTGGACCCTTCTAATTAGAGAGAAACTTCCTGCTGTCAATGAATAAATTAATTTTTTATTCAATGATGCTGTGGAGTGCTGCAATCGCAGATGTCTATCTTATAGGTATTTACACTCCAGAGCTCCATTTGTTTATCGACATCTTCAGGTTGTAATTAGACTTTGTTGATTTGTGTGGTATACCTTCACGTTTTATACGTTTAGGGCCTTGTTCCACCAAAACGGCGTTTAATCTATGATTACCATACACCCATCCAGGCTCCAGCAAAGAACATCCAAGCGGCGTGCGGTGATATTTTGCGTTTTTAATGAAGTTAAGGGAAATGAATATCGTGGCACAACAGAAAAATGAGCAGGAATTTCATGAAAAATTAGTAGATGCAAATGGGTGTCTGGTACAGCGTAGCCACATCGCCGTCTTCACATTGGTCACTGAACCAAATGTATGAAAACACCTTGCTTTGATGGGCAAATAATCGTGTGGCTGTCGTGCAGATTTGGTGGTAACAAATGCAATTTGATGAATAGGTGAAAATAAAATTAAGAGCCCTATACTTAATTTATTTTCGAATATTAAGAGATTTTGTCTTGCTACCTTGGAATCCTCCTTAAAGTCACATAATGGGCACATTACAAAAAATTACCCAAGAAATAAAAAGGCGTCTATTGCGATTTACATATTTGGTATTGTAAAACTGTCTAACCAGCAAGTGTCGGCATATTATACACTTCTTCCATTCACAACCGGGCATCCTACAAATAGAAAATGACACCGCCATCCAGCTTCGCTATAGCGTAACTTACTACACACTGAGCACTGCTTCTCATCAGTTCCATCACCACAGCCATCTCTACCAGAACATGCAATAGCACTAGATCGACATCTTCCATTTCCGCATCGAAGTGGGCAATAGTCAATCAGTCTCCTTCTGGCTCTCCCCTTGCATATGTGAGCCGGTTCATCGCTAGCATCACTGCACGATATTATGGCATTGCAAAACTCGTACTCCGGTATACATTTTCCATCCTTGCATCGGAAGGTATTGGCTGGACAACCTTTCTTCCCCAGCGCCTGGCAGTCAACCTCGTCTTCTCCGGACGGACAATCTCTGATACCATCGCAGCGGCTAGCTCTCGATATGCAGTGACCTGAGGAGCTACACTTGAAAGCCTCCGTTGGACAACTGTCACGTGTACATTCTTCGTCGGAACCATCGGAGCAATCACTCCTGCCGTCGCACACGAAGAACCAGCTGATGCACACACCGGTGCTCCGGCACTAAAACTGATAATCAGTGCGTGCGCATTGAAGGAAGTGCTGCTCACCTGGAAGGTACCCCTGATGCATCCTCGTCTGCGCGCAGAACAGCCGAAAGTTTCATTTGTCTTACTTATGCAGTCGCACACGCCCGAAATGCATTTTGAGGCCGGGTCCGCAGATCTGCATTGCATATCAGTCACACATGGCAGTCCCAAGCTAACCGCACCGTATCCGTCGTTAATTCGACTACGCGACTGCTGAGTTGTTGGAGATTCTAAAAGAGTCTAATAAGCGAATATGCACCTACAGTTGACGTAGTTACCGGAAGGTGGGACGGTGGATGTTCGTAGGGTTATTGGCGTTTTTAAAGGAAGGGTTGTTAGAGGTATACTGTTATCTTCTTCGGGTGAACTGTTCAAGTCGTATGTATGTGTAATTTCATTGGACGTTATGTCTTTAGTTGGGGGTGGGGTAGTTGGAGACGTATCCTGTGGAAGATTAGTAGAGTATGTAAATTGAAATGCCGACCGTACGCACGAATCTCCAACTTGACGTAACGGCGAATTACATTGACAACGTCCGAAAAGGTTCGGTATTAAAAAATCGCAGTGACTGTCGGCAGTCCATAAGCGGCAGTGCGCGTTACTGTAACACACATTTCCTGGTCGTGCAGCTGAAAAAAGAACCCTCGTAAGTAAACAGTTGTACGAACAATCCGATCATTAATAAAAGGAAGTGAATCAAAGGGAAAAAAAAGTATGATGTAAGGTTGATGTCCTGAAGCGAGCACAGGCGACATACTAATAAGGAATCCGTAAGAATTTATTTCGTTACGTGACCAAATTTTTAAATGAAAGTAAAGTGCAAAAACTTACGACCAAGACATGTATGCTTTCGGAATTGTAAAAAGCCGTCTACACATCGGCATACTCCTTCCAAGCAGCTACTATTCGCGACTCTCATTGCACACTGATCTGGTATTATGCAATCGTATCCCAGTAAAATCGCTGAAATTAAATTAAGCGGCTTACTAATTTTAATTAATTACCAAAAATGGAAATACTCACATGGCAGACACATAGTTTCGTTAACTTTTGCATAGTAAGGCTGGCAGATGCAGTGTTTGTGCGAGCACTGTGATCCGGATATTGTCTCTTTGCATTCCCAGTCATTGCTGCATTCATCCCCTAGTTTCATTGAGGTAGTTTCGTAAATGAATAATACCTGAAATGTAACTTAATTATGTTTGGCCAAATTGAAAAATCAAATTCGTTTTAAAAGACATGAAATGACATTTTCAGAAGGTAGCTTTGGGGATAGATGATCTGTCTCTTAAGCCTGAGACTATATTTCCCTTTTGAAACCTTTAAAAATTAACAAATACTGATACAATGTGTAGGTACACCTGTTGGTGTCTAATATTGTGAATCTAAAGAAATGTTTTTATAAAACTCAAAAGTATGATTTTACCTTATAGTGCTTGTGGTAAAAGTAAATTTATTTAAAAAATAAAACATTTGGTAAGATTTTCGCTTCTTTTTTTATTTCCTTTACCCTAAGAAAATAAAAACAACTCTTGGTATGCTTCTGATAGATAATTTCGAAGCCATGTAGACCTATGTGCTTTATGGGATTAATAGAGGAATATTTTGGACCTAGACCTGATGATCAATTGTTGGAATCTCCCTCCTTACAAATGTTTAAAGAACAAACAAGACCGCAACATTTCCCTTTACAAGACAGGAGGAACGGACAAGGGAGACGGGTGATCCATAGGGCCGTTTCTTCTTCTTTTGGATCACATCACGCATGGTTTGCAAAGTCGAATCATATCGATTTCGCGTAATTAAATTTAAAAAATAAAAACGGGTGGGTAACTAATGAAAACCCCGTTCAAATTATAGCTGATTTGGCACCTTGTCCCATTTAAAAATTTGGGGAGTTGCAAGCGTATTCGTGTAGTAGATGGTTCCGACAAGTTCTGGGATTGTGAGGCATTGTTTCTTCTTCTATTGGGATAAAATCACGCATGGGTTGCAAAGCCAAGTGATATCGGTGGCGCTTAGAGTATCGATGTAATTATCTAATAAGACCCCATGGAACAATATCCCGAGCATTGCACCATAGTTTTACCATGTTACAGCGAAGCATTTAATCAACTGACTGATTCCATCTTTTCTGAAGAAGCGCAAAATATCGTTGATTACTTTGAATACATTGATAGGATGACTTACCAGGAATAACAGACGAAGAACTCTTCATTATGAACTCGATATGTGGAACTGTGACAAAAGAGTCCAGCAGAACCTCCCAAAAACAAATAATTCGGTAGAAGCCTGCCAGCGTGCCTTTGAATAGATATCAATTGACTTACAACCCTCTTTCCTTCATCGTGTACAGGTCAATTTTTGGGATAAAATGCAATATTCCATTGCTACAACTTAAAACTATTTTCGGGGAAATAAGTATAAAATTTCTAAGAAAATTCCTACAAAGTTTTCCATAGTGGCTAGGAAGACAACCCTTCTAAAACGCTAAATGTTCCCTAAACACATTTCCAAACGATTTTTCGAAAAAGGTTCCTCGGAAAATTTTTAATGGGCATTTAGAAAAAAGTTTCTGAACAGTCTTCTACTGTCTATATTTCTACGAAAATTAGTAAGAATTTTTCCAAGAAAGTATGTACATTTCCAAGTTTCCCGAGATGTTTTTAAGACTTCTAAAAAGATTTCCGTGTAGTTTTCTCAAATAAGCTTTCAAGCTTTTTGTGAAGATTTATAGTGAAGTTTCCTATACTTCGAGTAGATACCTGAGATTATTCTTAAGAAAACTATAAGATGTATAAAATGTATAGGAAAATATGAAGGAGTTGTAATGTCGAAACATGCTTGTAGGAGAGGGAGGGCGGGGGAGGTGTTTTTTAAGAAGGTTTTCAGGAGAAAAAGTTCTACAAAGTTTTCTAAGACTCATTCCAGAAATATTACGTAAAATGTTTCCGAGTTCAAAAGATTATTTCTGTTTTTTTAATAGCAAGATTGGTTTCCTTTCGAAAAATTCCCCTAAAAAACAGATACACTTTTGGAGGTTGTATGAACTCCGAGGTGACCCAGATGTCAAACGCAGCCGTAACACGAATGAGAGTAATCCTACGCTATGGGTGAACACTGAACATTAGGACCAAGGGGAGTCTTCTTCGCTATGAGGAACAGAACTCGACTGAATTTCTATTTCATCGTGACTACAGAGACGTTGGAGGGGGGGCTGCTGATTAAATAGCAATCCGTCGATCGGGATTAATTAAAGTAGACAAAAAACCCAGAAAAAGCGGCAGAGCACCTCGGTGTGATCCCACGGAGTCATTGGATTTGACCCACTTTCAATTGGATTGTTACATGTGGTATTTATGTTAACTGTGTAAAGTTTGAACCGAATAGGTTCAAACGTTTGGCAGAGACAGAGAGGCGTGATCCTAAGGGGTCATTATGGATTTGACCCATTTTCAATAGGCTTATTACTTGTGGTATATAGGCCAACTGTGCAAAGTTTGAACCAAATCGGTCCAAGCGTTTGAGAGTTATCGTGTTCACGGACAGACAGACAGACGAACACCATCGACTCCCCTATAAAGCTTGCATCGCTTTGCTCTGCCGCTTAATAAACTACACGAGAAGTGTCGTGTTCGAATGAACAAGTGCGTTCTTCATCGGCATCTCTTGCGCTAACCATCACTCATTCCAGGGATTGTTTGATATGATGTCGTTTATTGTAATTTATTTTGATTTTTAAATTTAATAGTTGGCGATTTTAGCGCCCCCTTTAGAAAGGCGTCCAGGACACGTGGCCTACCTAAGCCACCGTTTTTTTTCCATACATAATAGGATCATCCGATGAACTCCGCGAGTAGTCATCTCTCGAATTTCTATTACAATCATTTCATCAAAAGCTCTTCTCACCCTAACTTCCAGTTTTTCACTAAAAGCAACTGGTGTGAAATAAATTTTTATTATGGCCCCACGCATAAAAGTCCCGTGGCTTTATATCTGGAGATATATAGGTCGACGCCGCGCACCTGTAGGACCAATTCAAAAACGTTCAAAGGCATATAAGAATCGTGGGTAGAATGAGTCGGCGCGCCATCAAGTTGAAACCAATGAGAATTCTCATAATTGCTAAAAATAAATTCCTAACGGTCACAATTTTAGAAAATCTAAAATAAAACGGAAAGTGTAACAGGTAGACATAGGACAGGAGTCGGCAACCTATTGAAACGGAAGAGTCAAATGTTACAATTTACAAAATTTCCCGGTTTTTAAAAAACCACTAAAAATTGTCGATTCAATATTATAGATCCTGCAACCTGGTAAAAAATATAACATCATCATAGAATATAAAACCTATTGTAAAAATGTCAACTATAGATGGTTGTGCATCTACAGAAATTATTTTTGAATGTACAGGGGGTTCCAGTTTTACGGTGTCAATAAATAACTGATATATTTCAATAGAACATCCTGCATCTTTTTACTTGTATCAATACCATTTGTTAACGTCTACATGGAAACCTATTCACTTTTTGGGTTTTTGTCAATGTTGCCAACGTTTTCCGAATAGATCCCTATAAGCAAGCCTATAATAAATCGTAGTGACCTTGATTTTGAAGTTAAGAACTACAATTGATCAATAATGTTAATCCGAGTAAAGGCCAACACTGTCATAATGAGAAAGGGATTTAGTGAATCAGGGTGGTAAAATGTACAAACTTCAAAGTGCCATAACTATTCTTTTACAAATTGAACTACCACTATTTATTTCACTACTCGATTGTCTTTTGTGTTCTCTTCAATTTTGATAAGAGGTGTCCTGTGCTTAAAGAGACTTAGATTAGATTATCCATCATTTTTCACAAAAGTAGGTACCTGCCCATTAATTAATTGCATATTTATACCCCAGAGTAGGTGTGATAATAAAAAACAAAAGAATGCCAGAGCGTCAGTAGAGATTATTTAAGTTACACCGCGAATACATAAATAAATGATGACTTTTGTTAGTCTTATTGTCGACTTGTATAAATAAATATGAATAATTTGGTTTAACGTTTGTTTTACATATCAATTTCACCCACGAATGGACAACCAGAAAAGAACTCCTACCTTTACCTATTTTGCGTGTATGTCTTATTACACTACTGAAGCTCTATTTTCTAGTGCAAAGAACCAAAGAGTGTGCAAATTTTGGCCTGTCCAAGAAAACAAGGCAGTGCGAGCATAATGAAAAAACAGATTCTTTTAATGGAGGACCTACTGACAATGAAAAAAGAAAACACGTACAAGAAAAAAACAAAATATTTTAGTATACTAAAAACGAATAGTAAATCATCTTCAGCTTTATACGGAGGAAGTTGTAACAGACAATGGAGCTTCTGCACGAAACGATTGACCATGGCTTGAATTAATAATGAAGTAGCTCCACAAATCCATAAAAAATTATAAATAAGTATAATCGAGATTAATAAGTTACAAACTGCAATGAATTTAAATGAAAAGCCTGTTGGCTAATTCAAGTTTCATTGCTCACTGTCAAGTTGCTAACTGTAAAACAATGAGTATTTACATAATACAAATTCGGCGTAGCGGTATAAAGATTCGTACGCGTTCTAGCTTTTTTATAGTCACCCATCTTCGCTCGTTTCGTTATTATTCGAAACGGATAGTTTCAAGGAAGATATTGCATAAACATCTAGGTATAACACGGAGGAGCGTTTTGTGAGAAAATCCAATCTAACGTGCAAAGCTGTAATTTAAAATAGCATTTACGTGACACGGTTGCAATTTAAAAATATAATTTATTTAATTATAGGCAAGTTCGTCATTAAGCCAAAGCCGGGTAATTGCACGGTAAGCATCCTGTATTATGGTAAAATGCAGTTTTATTGTTATTAAATCCAACGGCTCAAACCGATGCATACAGTACCTGCGATTCTGTCCGCACATCTGTCAGCTTGTAAAACATTAATTTGATGTAGAGACTGTACCAAGGTTTTATTTGCCATACCGTTCTTGATGATTCTCTCATTGTTAAAACATCTACATTTATGGGTTTTGGTAAAATGGTGTAGATGATGGTTTCAGTACAGAGCAATACCTATAGGGTGAAGTATTTCACAATTAAAATTTGAATAAATAGTAGATATGTCAGAAATATAAAACATTAATAATGATAATTTA